ACGAGCCCCTCGCCTGTGATGAAAGTTCAACAAGTCAGAGCCCACGTGCCGTCCAACAAACTATTCATGCGCAAGAAGGCAATTAACGTTAACTGTCGCTGTATGTTTGCAGTAATGACTGTATCCTATAAATAATGCAAACTTCACTGCATGCATTACCCATTTCTGCTAATGTTTCCTACTCATGTCTCTGATGATGAATCCGCGACGGATGTCGAAACGTCAGGCGAATAAATGTATTGTTCGAGCGATCGAGTTGTCTTCTTCTCAATTACTTCCTGGGACTCGCCCAGGGTCTTCCTTTTCTCAGAATTGAAGCTGACGAAAAGGGACTTGTTAGAACTGCCTTCTTCTTCTCAACTGCTTCCCGGGACACGCACGTTCGCTTGTATTGGCAATACTCGACCTTATTCTCTGAAGAGGTTGCCACTTCTAGACGCACTGGGGAGTTCTCACCAGACTAGACACTAGAACTCGAGACGGACGAGACGTTTTCAAAAAAATATAGTTGTTCCATGATTTTCGACCGGCAGATACGAAGGAATTACGGATAGGTGTTAATTCCCACGCCTGGTCTGACTCCGCGCATCCTGTCTAAATCCAAGCACGACCGATCTACGTCATTGGACAACTTAAGGCAAATTAACTTCCACACATGTGTGGAGTGGAGTTGTTCAGGATAGCGTGCTTGATCCGCTCTCAGTTTTCCCTTTTTTCAGCGAAGTACCTGATTTCTTTCAGTATGGTATGCCCTTTATGTATGCCGACGATTTGAACGATGCTTATCGATATAAAGTGGTAGATCGCAACATCATGCTTGAGTTCTCAAAATGATCTTCAGACACTTTCCCAGTGGTACTGCACATGGTGCCTTTCCCTTACTTGGTAAAAATGTTTCGTTATGGTTGCTGACGATGTTCATTAGCCTAAACTAAAGCATAGACGGTCACGACCTTTATGGGCCCATAGTTATTAAGGATTTGGGCTTATTTTATTCTTAAATTCTCAATCTGTCGGCGTGCTGCGCACTGAGTGTCTCGAAAGCATACCGAACGACTGGGTCTTTTGTTAGAACCAGCTTTTACGAAATGTATGTTAGACCGACTCTGGAATATTGCTCTTTTCTAGTTAGCATTCTGCGTGCTAATTAATGGATGAAAATAGGATCGGTCCAGGATTTCTTTGCTAAAAGAGTCTTCTCTTCATAACTCCGTAACCTGCGCTACCAACAATGTTGTAAAACTACCAACATCGAGCCGTTGTGGCTCCGCAGATTACAGAAGGGACTTCTTGATCTGTTTAAACTTTTGCACAGCCATGCCTTTAACCCCCTTTATATTGTGATGCAGCTCGAACATTCTCGAGAGGCGTTTTTATTTATTCATCCGGAACGCAGAGTTAGATATCACCAGTTTTTTTTAGTAAACGCCATAAAAATTTGGAATAAGTTACCCAGGAATAGTGAAATTCCGCAAAGTTATCCTTTGTTCAAGCGAGCTATCGCTAGTTTTCTACACTCAGGACACCCTTCATGAAGTTTGGGTGCTGATTCATTGAAATCTGTCTTCCGCTCTAATGACGTTCGCGGAATCTGAACTCTGTGCCAGGTTTCATGCTGGGAGCAATGGGGTTGACTATGAAGTCCGCGATCTGCTAATTCTTAACCCAACAGCGAGTAACCGTTTTCCCGTGCATTCTTGTCTAGTGCAGAATACCGGATCCATAATACCGAAGGGAGACGGTCTACACCATGCGCCTGTACTAACCCTTCCTCGTCCCGAACGTCATTAATTTGACGAGCTCCAGTTTTTCCCCTGAAAAACACTAAATAGAATGGAATGGAGTCTTAAGACCACACACTTAAGAAAATTAGAAGCTAGCGAGCAGACCAACTGCTAATTCCATTGAGACTCTCATGAAGTGCGTGCCTGTATGCATCAGACCTGATAACTCTTTACAATGTAACATCGTCAACAAACATGACGGCGCTACAACTTAGATTTTCGGCGCTGTCGTTGGTGTAGACTAGAAAGAGCGATGGACCTAAGACTGAGCCTTTGGAGACACAAATTAGGATGGGAGCATAGGTTGAATTCGAGGCTTCGATGTACAGGGTTTGTGGCCTTCTTCTAAGAAAATCTTCGTTTCGTGTCGGTGGCTTTCCTTTTATTCCAGTTGTAAATAATTTATAAACTATAAGTTTGTGCGCAACGTTGCCGAACGCCTTCTTGAAATCCATGTGGATGACGCAAAGGCTACCATCGTCGTGCAGTATGTGAGTATATCGCAGGAGGTTAAGTGAGTCAAACCCAGCAACTGTGATCTTCAGACCATGGGAACTTAGTAGAGGAGAAGTCTTGGAAAGGCTAGAGTAGAAAGAAGAGTATATTGTGCACACATCGGAACGGAGAATAGATGGACAGAGATTTGACTTGGAGAGCTTACGACCAGCAGGAAAGCCAGCTGCGGTCCAAGTGCCAGTTTGAGAGCATTCAGGCCAGTAGACAAGAGAGAGCGTTCCTTGGCTAGATCGGCCCGTGATTGGTTGGACAGCGAGTGGGTGGACATTGAAGTGGGTGGTCCACGTCACGCGCGCCAGTAAGTCTGGCGGCCGCCACGACCTTGAGGTCTAGAGGGATTGAGTTCACGACAGGAAGGCCAGACATCGGGCAGGCAATGACCACTAACAATATGCTGCCCAGTCCAGAGCAGTAAACTTGCAAGACAAGAGTGGTAGTCTGTTCGAGCTCCGAGAGTAAGTAGTTCACCTTCAGAAGCTCCACTGACGCTTTTAAACTACTATTTATTCACAAAAAGGCAGGTTAGGTTGACAGGCCAATAATTGTCGATATTACTTCGAAACTCACACTTGTATATCAGGTAGATATTGGCTGTCTTCCG